TATTAACAAAACTAGAAAGCAATCCTTGCCTAAACAGGGGCTTTAACTGCCAGTCCTGCCAAAATCATTGGCTAGTATCAACAATGATGTTTTATTTCTTCTAAAAACACTCAAAAAAGCTGGAAAAGGTGATCGTTTCTACAAATGAGTAATCAATACAGAGAATAAAGGATTAAACAGGTGTGAAATTATAGCACCTCCAAAACAATCTAACAAAGCTTCAAAAATGGAACTCAAAGAGAGATTTATGAATGATTAGAAAAATAAATCAGGATAATGTCCTTCCTTTTAAAACTTCAGTGAATTTCAAGAATATATAACTAAAAATTGAATAAAATTTGAGAAAATACATGAACAAAATAAAAAGTCTGATTAAAAATAGAAATAGGTTATCCTAGAAACATAATGATACCTGTCTGAAAAAAAATAAAAGGCAAGCATAACAGTATGAACAAAAATAAAATAAAATATATTACATGGGAATAAATTTAACCAAAGAAGTCAAAGACCTCTACAATGAAAACTACAAGACCTTGATGAGTTGAGTGTGATTGTGCACACCTGTAAACCCAAGACTTGGGAGGCTGAAGTAGAAAGATTGCCACAAGTCTGAGTTCTAGGCTAGTCTGGGCTATATAGTGAGTTCTATGTCATTCTGAAATTTTGTCTTGAAAAACAAGCCAAACTTGAAAGAAATTGGAAAAGATACAAATAAATAGAAAGTATTTCATGCTCATCAAATAGAATTAATAATGTCAAATATCTATATTACCCAAAGTGATCTAACAAGCCAATAATTATCTATGAAAACATCAATGACATTCTTTACAGAAACAAAAAAAATTCTAAAATTTGTATGAAAACACCAACATCACCAAACCAAGGAATCCTGAGCAAAGAGAACTAAGGTGAAGACATCACTTTACACCTGAGTTCAAAATACACCATTGTCACATCCAGGAGTGCGTACAGCACAGTTATACTGAAGCCAACCAGGAATCATAAACTTACCTAACAGAAAATTAGAAATACAAGTTTAGAAGAAAACACAAAATCACTTCATGTGAAAGAGGAAAGAAAAGAGAGAGAGACAGCTACACTGTTGGAGGAAAGGTAGGGATCCTAGAGCAGGTAGTCAAGGATCCTTGTTCTTAGCTCCTTTGTGTGTGTGTGTGTGTGTGTGTGTGTGTGTGTGTGTGTGTAGTGAAAAGGATTGTTCTCTCCAAAATTTGCTGCAAGTTGATTGGCTCCTTCAGGGCCTAAGACTCATAATGTGGTCATTGATATTCTCCATTAGCTCTGAAATTTATGATAGTGGACCTTACATACAAAGCCAGTTAGCAATTAAGTAAAGGGAAATGTGTACATTTAGTACAGAAACACAGTGAGAGAATATATGTATTTGATTCACAAACTTAATTCATTCCATGATTCTAGAAAAGAATCATTTGTGTATGTGCAGGAAAGATGTCTGTGGTTGTGTTTGTCATCCGATGTAGGGTTTCCAAACAGAAAAAAAAATTGGCCAACACTTCTGTTTGCAAAAAGGACTTGAAAAAAGAATACATTCATTAATGAAGTTACCAGGAATACATTCGTGCATGTGTACATGTGTGCGTGTGTGTGTGTTAAATATAGTACATATATTTTGCATACCAAGTATATTTGCTATTTTGCAGCCTCCTCTCTATTTTGTCTTTTTTGTAACTAGAGGTAGGGAAGGGCTACTAACTTTAACTGGAATCTTGGTGCTTTCCAGAGCCTAGCAGCTTAGCAGTTCTTGTGCTTCTCCTAATTGTTCATTCCAGCAGAAGTTTAACACTTTCTAGTCAGGATTTACCAGAAATCTTACTGATTCCTTACTCTATTTATCAGGCTGTAAATCCCACTTTTCTTATACTACAAATCTATAATAAATAATATTGATATACAAAGACATGTAGACCAATACAAAAGGAGAGAGATCCCACGAATAATCCCATGTATTTACCATCAGTTGACTTTTAGCAAAGGAAATAAAAAGATACATAACAAGGAAGACATTATCTTTTCAACAAATGATGTTTGGAAACTTGTGTGTGTGTGTGTGTATGCAGAAGAATGAAACTAGACTCTAGTCTCTAACCAGTTACAAATATCAAGTTAGTGGACTCATTACTTAAATACAGGATCCCAAACTGTGAAACTACTAAAAAAAACCAGAGGAAATACTTCATGACATTGGTACAGGCAATTATTTTTTTGATATGACATGAAAAATAGGGGGAAAAAAGCAAAAAATAGACTCATGGGATTGTATCAAACTAAAAGCATAGCAAAAGAAACAAACAGTATTGGCAAAAAAAAACCAACTCCAGATGATACAAAATTATTTTAAAGCATATATCTAACAAGGAATTAATATTAAGAATTTATAATAATATAAAATGCCTCAATTACAAAAGAAAAATCCAATTAAAATAATGGGCTAAAACCCTGAGTAGACATTTCTCAAATGAAGATCCCAACAGAGACATGAAAAAAAAATCCCAAGATTACCAACCATCAGATAAATTCTAAAACTGTAATAGATTATTACCTCTCCCAAGAAGAAATGATTTTTATCAAAAAGGCCAAAATGACAAATGACAAATTTCAGCAAGGGTGCAGAACAAGGGGGACATTTAGACATTGCTTTTTGGGACTATAAATTAATACAGTCATTATGGAAAACTATGTGGAAGTTTTTTAAGCAACCAAAAATAGAAATACCTTACGATTCTGAAATCCCTCTATTGTGCATATACTCAAAATGAAATGTTGAAGAAATACCCATACACTAATGTTTATTGCAGTACTATTTAAAATAGCTTCAGTGTAAAACAATCTAATTACCCATCAACAGATGAATGAATACAGAAAATGAGCTACATAAACACAATGGGATACTAGATGACAAAAAAAAAAAAAGAAAGAAATGCTATAATTGTGACAACATGGATGGAACTAAAATTATTATAAGTAAAACAAGTCAGCCAAATAAACACAATATCACATAATCTCATTCATATGCAGAATCTAAAAAATTGAATTCATGAAAGTTGAGAGTAAATTAGTAGAGGTAGGGAAAAGTGGGTAGGTTAGGGGAGAGTGATAATTTTATTGTAATATCAGCTGAATAAGTTCTGATATAGCACAGCAGGATACAAATAGTTAACAATATATTTAACATTGCCTCATATATTTAAAAATAATGAGAAGAGAGAATTTTGAGTTTGTTACAAAGAAATGGTAACAGTTTAAGGTTATGTGTACATTAATTTGTTTACCCATTATACACATGAATAAAAAGCATCCTATTGTACTTCAAAGCATGCACAAGTATGTGTCAAATAATTTTTAATTTTAATTAGAACCAAGTTAACATGGCATCTTTATAGATTCATCCAAAGTGAAGACAGCTCATTTCCAAAGCAAACATGTTAGTCTTTCATTTCCGCTCCCTAGGATGGGCCATGACAACTGATTTATTTATTGCCACCTTCTGTATGGCCTCCCAGAAGAACCAGAAATGCCACTTGATCATCTCTACATCTGCTTTGTATACTAAAATGCTGAAGATATGTATTTAAGCTAAAAATTATGGTCTTGGCAAAGAAGCATTGATATTTCTCGTCTGAGCAGTTCAGCACTACTGCTAATTTAATCCATCGTCCCTCCAGAGGCCTATTACCCTTAGCAATCACACCACAAAGGTTCACACTGGGGACACATGAATGACATTTTTGTCACACAACAAGCATGAAAAAAGGTTAAGCCACAGATTTTTCTTCACAAAAGCTGGAATGAAGGCAGAGTAGCTCTCCAAAATTCCATTTCCTTCCGTAAGGCAGGGCTCATTTTCTGTATAAAAGTTCACTTGCCCAGAGACTCCACACCAGACCTGCGAGGTAAGAGGACTTCATCCAAGGTAAGAGTCCTCATTTGGAACTTCTTAGTATTCATCCATGTGATTTTATTTTATTAGAACTTCTTGACATGTAAGGATGTATTTTTTAAGGATATATTTAAATGCACTGGTAGTTCATATTTAAGGGAGTTAATGTAAGTGATATTTATTTTCTAATCAGTTCATAGCTGTGGGACTGAAGATCAGAGAAGGGCAGTGATTTCTTCAAAAATTGGCATTATGAGGAAAACATGGACTGGATATCATGTTCAGGACATTATTAGAGATGACTTATCTTTCCAATTTTACTGAAATCTCTTAATATCAAGGGTACTGCCCTATATAATTTTGACATGTAAAGTTTAATACTTTGCTCTACGAATCTATGTTCATCAAAGAATATAATAATATGGGAGTAGTTCGGTAACCTACAGTACAGAGTATGAAAATAGGAAAAGGGAGGGAGGAAACACCCTGAAGCATAGTAAGGAAGGTGTCTTGGAATCTGGCAGAGGGGTTAAGGAGGAAAGTCATAACAGATGAGCCTGTGAGGATGGGTGTTGAGTCTATGCTCAGCCTGCCAGAGGGACACTGACAGGGACTTGGAAGCAGATCACATGAGCCCAGGGACAGATGTACAGGAATTTTGCTGTGAGAGCAAAGGCACTCTATAAGATAGACATGAGTTAGTAACTACAGACATTTTGTTCTCCTATTTTTCCAAATATTCAAAACCTAAGCCCTCACCTCAATCACAGGGACCTGCTGTTACACTGAGCTGTTTGTGTTGTGCATAGGTGTTTAGATGCATCAGGTAGGAAAAAAGTAAAAAGAAGGGCTCCATTCACATGTATCTAAACAAATCAACTTTGCCTTTTGCCCTGAAACCTTGCAGGGATCATTGAAACATCCTATCAGCTCAAATGTAAGAACACAGAAAGAAAGAAAAGAGAATCTTTTACCTCTGAAAGGATACACAATGAGGGATTCTTGTCATTAAATTGAGTTCCCTCCTTGTTCCTCCAAATAACTAATAGGCTTTTCTGTCTGCAGGCCCAACATCCTTTGTAGCATGAGTTCCTACCAGCAGAAGCAGCCATTTGCCCCTCCCCCTCAGCCTCAACAGGAGCAGGCCAAACAACCCTACCAGCCTCCCTCTGAAGTACCATTTGTTCCCATCACCAAGGAGGCAAGTCACCCAACTGTTCCACAACCTGGAACCACCAAGATTGCGGAGCCTTACTTCATCACAGTTCTTGATCCAGGATGTACCACAGTCACTGCACCAGGATCAGGACACACCGTGATCCCTCAGCCAGGATGCAATCCTGTCCCTGCAGTGGGACATGCTGTGGTCCCTGATCCAGGATGCACCACTGTCTCTGCGCCAGGCTACACTGTGGTCCCTCAGTCAGGATGCAATCCTGTCCCTGAAGTGGGACATACTGTGGTCCTTGAGCCAAGATGCACCACTGTCTCTGCACCAGGCCACACTGTGGTCCCTCAGTCAGGATGCAATCCTGTCCCTGCAGTGGGACATGCTGTGGTCCCTGAACCAGGATGCACCACTGTCTCTGCGCCAGGCTACACTGTGGTCCCTCAGTCAGGATGCAATCCTGTCCCTGAAGTGGGACATACTGTGGTCCTTGAGCCAAGATGCACCACTGTCTCTGCACCGGGATACACTGTGGTCCCTGAGTCAGGATGTATCACTGCCCCTCAACCAGGATACACCATTGTACCTGCACCAGAATATACCACTATCTCTCAGCCGGAATATGACAAGACCACTGTGTCAAGTTACAGCAAAGTTGCTGAGCCAGGATACACCAAGGCCCCAGAGCTACGCCAATGTGAGATTCCTGAGCCAAACCCCTCAAAAGTTACTCCAGGTTCCGCTAAAAAAGATTGCTAAGCAGAAATAATGCTCTTGACAACACAGGAGATGATGACCAGCTGCTGAGTTCCCCTGCTCTTCGTTTCTGTGTCTGCTTAATTTTTCATAGATCTTATAATCAATATGCTCTCACCTTCAGCCAGTCTGCTCCATTTGTGTTCTAAATTTATGTTTCCCCCATAACCATCTATGCTTAAGCAGAGCGTCTTTGCTGATCTGCAATCTCTCACAATTCATTTGAAAAGAGATTCTTGATTAGATGAAATGTGTTTCTGCTTTGTCACATTAAATTGCTTTTGCCTTCACTCTGGTCATTGTCATTGGTTGAATCTTTGCCTTTCCTTGTTCTCTCATTGTGAGTCAGAATACATCACAGGGAAGAGTTGGTATTGATATCTTCACTTAGTCTTGTGGTATATTTGTATGAGGCTGTGCATATACATAAAGTATTTCTGGAATAGTAACTAGAAGTTATTTGATGATACACAGAATTTGTCACATTGGGTGTCACAGCTAGTAAGAATATGGTTTTCCTATTGCACTAAACTGAGTCACTCCAGAGTTTCATGGACCCTGCCCCAGCCTTCCTCTGATCTTTAGTCCTCTCCTCATAAATCTTCTTTTCTTTTCAAGAAAGGATTATTCACACATACTTTATATTGTGCTTTTCTTCTTTATGTTCCTTTGAATTAGTCCTGATTCAGATTCACACAGTGTCACGGAGACACATTCGTTGTACATTTCTTCACACTCACCTAGTTACCTATACAATGCACTTTCATCATCTCAGGACATGCCATCTTTTGCTTGGAGACCACAATTTTCAGGGATTCCAACACTTGCAAGGAATCCTACAAGTGGACCAGCACAAGGGAAACAGCATTTCCAGAGCTCCCCACCCTTCCCTGAGAATTTGCAGTCATCTCTTGGAATTACATTACTTAAAATATATACAACCTTTGCACTCTCTCTTTCCCTCTCCAATCCCTCTTTTTCCCTCTCTTTCCCCAGAATACTCCATGTAAGGTGAATTTTAAGCAGTTGTTAGAAGTACCTGATCCAGGTGAGGAAAATAATTAGTTACAAAGTTGAGGCAAGCAGGTTATTATGCTAAAAAATATCACAGAATTGAAAGAAGACTTTAATGGCATCAAGATATCCACTCCAGTTTTCAAAATTATGCTCAAAATGTTAACTAACATAACCAAGAGATTCTGTTTCTGTGTCATATCAGAGTACAGTTTGCCAAAATTTTATCCTTACTTTCTCCTACAGCTTGGTCATATTGATTTCATACATGACCAGACAGGATTATGGGGCTCTGTGGAGAGGTTTTAATACGCAACAGATGTAACAGAACATTTCCAGCAGCAGGAAAGTCAATATAAAGTTTCAAAGAGACTTCAATTGTAACTGGCAAACTCAATTTCCTAGCAGGTTGAATGATCTATAACACATAAGAGATTTGTGGGAGGAAGTAAGAACCTGCATGGTGCTCAACCACTTCAGATAGGTTTGGCAAGACCTCAGACATATTTGGAAACTATAAGATAAAAATCATTCAACGAGTTAATACAAGGTGATGAGTCTTTATCAAACTGGCAGGAGAAAATGACATCCCTTGCATATGTTATATGTATACAAGTTTAGCTGGCTCCACATTACTCCTGAGTTCCATGGTGGAAAAGTCTAGAATGACTCCAGCACAAGTCACAAATAACTAGGCCAATTTTGAGTGGGGACATAGGCCTGATGACACATAGCTATTATCAATATAAAATATTATAATTCTGTTGCTTCTATTGTTTGGGGTTAACTTTTTAAAAATATATTTTTCTAAAGAAAATATGGATAACAAAATTTATTTTCTAAACATTTGAAATGTACAATTCTGTGGTACTAATTCCATTTACAATGTCCTGCCTCTTTGTTAAAATATATACATGTATGTGGGCTCATGGAAGACACACAAAAGGCCTCATATAAAGTTCAGCAAAATATATACAGTAGATTTTTCTGTCTTTTATAGTGCTCTTTTTTAACTCTTCTAAGTTTCCCAAAATCATAGGTAGTATATGGTATTATTTTATATTTATTTTTCTAATATCTTGAAGATGTTGCTGAGCTACAGGAAAAGCACGTATTCTTCACATCAAAAAAAAAAAATCCCCTGAGGCTCTACACAGATCCCATATCCAAGAAGCGTATAGTTTTTGTGTTGTATCTTCTTCATATACATCCCTATACCATTTTCTGATCTTCTTTTAGGAACTATAGGGTACTCCAGGTTTTCCCTTAGAATACTCAGCCATCCAATTTTGTAAGATTACTCTAACATTTAAGTGTTAAATGCGAAGTTGTCCTCTCCCTGTCCCAGCTGTTTTTTTTTTTTTTTTCTTTATAGGCTCACTGAAGGAAACAGTAGATTTGAGCACAGTGTATGCACTGTGGTTTTTTGCATCCAGATGATACTTGTATTGGAAGTAGGTTGAACTGGATAGATCCTTTCTCAACCTCATGTTCCTCCTTACACATTGGAAGCAGTGTTACTTATGACTGTAAGACACCTATTTTCTTAGATACACCTGCAATACCCTTGGAAAGGAGTTCTTATATTTTCAGAAGTTGGGGGGGGCACAACTGGAAACAGGTTTCCTTTCTCAAATCTGTGAGGCTCATACATTTGAATCTATCTCTTTGTCATCTAAACTTCATGGAGGTAATAGGGATGTAGGAACCACACATCTATAGTTTTCTATAGAAAAGAATTACACTAACTGTTCTTTTTGATGAGCTAACAGAGAGTTAGTAGTATAGTTATCTATCTCACATGCATGTACATACATACAGTTATATGTGTATATCTGCACACATATAATCTTTTCCTTTATTCCACTTCTCTTTTACCTAATGCTAGTTGTTCTTTCTTTTTGAGTACTTTCTTTCCCTTTAATTATTATAATATCTGTTGTACATTTTGGATCTTACTACTCTTTCACTTTTTATTATTTACTTTTACACTAGGGAGACAATAAGATTTTTTTGAGCATTTGATCATTTTTATGCCTACATCTTGTAACCTGAACAACACTTTCTAAGGTAGCAATCTCAATTATATTAACTAAAATCTATATTACTTCTATCTTTTTTTCTGTTCTGCTTTTTTAAAATAAAAAATAATTGCAAACTGTATGATAGAATACTTTAGAATTATGATAGAATATTTTAGAACTATGGTACATTATCAACAGTATATTAGCCTCTATTTTATGAAATATGTTATTTACTATAGCTGTTTAAATTTAAATGTTTTAGTTAAAATATTTTTTAAATTCATAGTTTGCTATGATTTATCTAATGATGAGACTTTTATCATGCCATTTTTACCAAGATACCTTACTTAGAAGTGAAAATTCTATTAAAACTTTCCTTCCTATGGTCATTTTTATTTACTTAATTAATATATTTTATAACATCCTAGTAATCCATGTTCCTAACCATTAAAACAAAAATATTAAGAAAAATGTGCTATTCATATTATGTGCATTTGTCAGTTTAGATTGTATTCACAAAAATCCCCCTAATGCCTATAAATTTATAAAATAGAATTCTAATTTTCATCTTCCATAGTCCATTATGTTTACAAGAACTCAGGCTCCTTCTGTTCTGTGACTCAGCACTCAACAGTCACTCTTTTCATTTTATTCCATTGTTCTAGAAAGAAGCAGGAGAGAATGCGCACTTTCTCTTACTGACATGGATACTGTGTGTCCCTAAGGATGTTATATTAGCTAGATGTCAGCCATATGATCACACAGTCTCACCCTACTACACATGTGCCCTGAATAACAGAGAATAGGAAATTGGTGAGCTTTCACAGCTTTGACACAGTCTAGTCATCTGGTTGCCAATATTTATTTGTTTCTTCTTTTTATAGATATACATATAGATCCAATGAAGTCAATGAATTCTTTGGGTAGTATACATTTTTCAAATCATATCTTGTCCATGTGGCCTTTGTTGGTTGTCTAAATAGAAAATCAAAAGACTAGACCTCTCAAATTCTGTCACAACTCATTTTGCAGTAGTTCATCAGGTCCTGGATAATCCCACTACAAATTTCTTTGAGGAATAAGAAAAAAAAGGAAGATAGTTAATATCAGAACAGAAATTCTGAAATTCCTCTGAGCAGGGTTGCAGTCTACCTGTCTATGGGGTGGATAGAAATTATTTTATATGACATTGGCTTTGCTCTTTGGAAAGTGTTCTTGGCTTGGGGGTGAGAGAGTTTCTTTCTCACTAACATCTCCTGAAGTTGTTTGGATGTCCTTTTCTGGGGTCAGACAATTAAGTTAGCTCTTCCTTCTTCGAATTCGTTTCAAGGCTTTAAAATACAAACCAGCTTTTGTGGCCTCAGTTAGTGGTTTTTTGGCATAAAATAATTTCATCAAAATTTTAGTAAGCTTCTGAATGGCTTCCAGTCAATTCCCTTGACAGTAACTCTTTCCAAATGTGTTACTAGGAACCATTTTGCAGGGCAAGCTCATTTCTTTGTTTTCTTATCCCTGTTTCTCTTTTAATTAAATATCTACTATTGCACATCACTATCTGAAACAATATGGGCAGAATGACTACATTTTAATCACATCTTTTCTTCTGTAAAAATTAGTCTTAATGAGTCATTAACCAAATTTTTCTATCAAATTTTTATACTATGCCCCTTTTCATTCTACTTTCAAATGGGCTAGTTCTTTCATGAACTCATCAGTACTAACAAAGGACATCAACAGTGACCAATAATTATCAAGACTCTGCATCTTTCTAGTTACTTCTTTTGTGTCTACAAATGTACTATGCAAATCATCTGCTTCTCAGAAAACAGACAAAAAATTTTGCAGAGTGTTTTACCTCAGCATTTAGAAATGCTATGGAAAAGTGGACTAGGAAACAAGGTAATGCCAAGCAATATACGAATCCTCAATTCTAAATACAAAGTCAATAGTATCACATTAAAAAAAAATCACTGCAGTGGGGCACGGAAAAGGAGATCACTTCATTAGTTTAGAGGTCAGAAAAAGGAACCATGATAAATTCTAGGCCAGGATTTTAGGTAGAAATCTCACTGAGGGATTTTATTTGACTTTAAATAATAACCAAGAAGACAAGATATGTGCCATACAATTACTGGCAAAGGGTATTTTCCCCAATGTTTTGTTAATTTCATTTCATATCAACATCTTATTTTCTTCACTACTTTGTATATATACACTGAAATATATAGCACAACTATTTTAAGATTTTTTTTAAAAAATCACAATTCTATATTAATCAATTTGAGTAACTCAATGGCCTTTGTTATCACATTGCTAAATATATTTCCTTTATTGGTAAACTGCTTGCCCTCAAAGGGACTTTATATGTGAGTTTAGTCTTTTCTTATATAGTCAATCCTTCCTTTGTAAAGTACAAATTTCCTCAAACTAGAAAACTCAAGGAATTTAAATCACCTGCGGGGACACGCACAGACATTCTTTTAGTGCAGTTTACTCAGAGATGATTGGTTTGCAAACCAAAGAGCTCACATGAGTCTGTGAATGAAGAATGACTTATCATCATCCTAAAGAGGAAGGCTGACAGCAGGGAACAAAATGTGAAGACAGACTTGCCTCTCCTTTAGCTCTTTCCTCCTGTCCACTTACTCTTTCCAACTCAGCTTTAGTCCCACTGAAACAGGCTAGAGAGACTCCAGTATTTACATCAGTTTTCCTACCTTTAATGCTCTTTCCCATATATCCTAAGTCTTTCCCAGTGTAAACCTTTTCAAAGAGGAGTTACAACCACAACTGCTACCTCATTGCTTACACTACTATTCTCTTCCCATAACATGTAATTTGCATAGCCATTATAATTTTTTATCATTTATTAGTTTCTTCCTCTATACCATGTGAGCTCCATAAATTCCAAGACTTTTGTTACTATTCACTGACACATCCTAATAGTTTAGAACACTCCTTTAAATATTATAGATACTCAATAATCTGTTGGGTGAATAGTGAGAATTGTTTTTCTTAGACTGGAATATCTTCAAAATTTTTGCAGTTACCAGATATACATCATAACTGGGAGGTTAAAAAGGACATCCTGTATTGGGTCATATTCCAAAAGGGAGATTCTAGAGCTTGTAATCACCTGAAACTCTCTGAGTTGTCCTCTTAGATGACTTGTAGGACAATAATACCCTAGATTATTAAAAAAAAAATTGTCCTTTTTTACCAGAAGGAGAGATTCTCCATTAACACAATCATTTCTTTCTTCCATATATTTTGAAGTTATACCCAAAATGATGTCTTGTTAGTAGTACTGTTGCCTGTACCCTCCTGTAATCTTACTTGCTTAATCTGTGTCATGTTCTTCCCAGTGTCAGAAGGTTGACCTTCAAATGTCTGAGATGTACATTTTACAAAGCCCACCCAATCTCTGCTCACTAATATACAATTTGATCTTTTCCAGTACCCACTTCCCCTATAATATGCGCCAAAGTCTTTTCCATTGAAACCTTCTGCTTGGCCAGCATAGCATATCACCAAGAACTAGAAAATCCTCGTTAGCTAAATGGATCCTCATTGCTTTCATGGAACTTTATCAAATTCTCTTGAAAGCCTTTTGTGGTGAAAGGGAGCATCTTCAAGAAGCTTCAGCTCCCGATCTCACTGAGATAGTTTAGCACAGACTTCTTTCTGGAATATAGCACCATAAAATATTCTAGGAGAGAGGTAAGAAAAAGCCTCAATCACAACTTTTCCAGAGTGTGAGAAGAAAAAACTTAGATCAGTGTCTCATTGCATAATTCAGGGTGACCTTGAACTCACTGTGTAGCCCAGGCTTGCCTTAAACTCACAGTTATCCTCCTGCCTCAGCCTTCTAAGTGCTGGGATTACTGGCATACACCACAAAATGTGACTAGCCCAACTTTCTAACGGTCAGTATATCTGAGTTTCTATGCTCTGTATTAATTTCTGTCCGCTGGATGATTGTGCTTACAGAACTTCCAGATTTATGTGCCTGTTTCAAGGCTGTTATAACCTGGGCAATTTGACAATTAACTCATGGGCAAGGAGATTATTTGGAATGTAAAGGAGAGAAATCTGAGAAAGAAGGAATATGCGTTAAAGGTAGAATTACCTTTTTTTTTTTTAATCTCACCAAAGAAACTGATATTCATATCCATGGAACTTTTAAGGGTTTGTTAAGAAATACTGTCACATCTCTTTATCAGAAGATGAAAGTCTTCTTCTGAATTTTCCTCTCATTCCCTGCACTGTCAGCATTTGTCAAGTCTAGACCCATGTGTATTTATTTTCCCACCCCTCTGTGTTGTACACACATAAGAACACAGTATTTTTGATTAATGTAATGCAGTATCATAAGAGTTTGAGATCAGAAAGGAAGAAATATGCACCATGGTCCTACCAAGCAACTTTGTCAAGAGACCTTTCTTCTAAGCCTACATGGTTAAGGACATATGGTGGCATTTGATTAAAATGTAGGGCGGAGAGAATTTTAGGAGTGTTTAGAAGGTATTGTGCAGCAGCTGAGTTAATTAAAAATATTATAGGCAGTGAGACACGGCTAGATCATCAATAGAGCCAGTGCAGACACCTGGCAGCTGCCACGGAAGTTGATGCCTCATGCTGTGGGCCAGACCTCAAGACAAAAGACAATACCAATGCACCCATATCCTAAAGATTAATATTCTAAATAGGTCTCTATCATGCCAAGGAAGCCAGGGTTCACCAGTCCAACCCCCTACAGGAAGAGTCACTGCTCTTTAAGCATGTCCACTTTCTACATGACTCACTTCCCTATTTGTCCCTAATGTAATCAATTTTACCTGAACTGTTGATCTTATTGGCTGACTATAGTTATGTCCCACCTTATGCCCATCTGCCTTGTGCGTTCCCAGTCTTCTCCCATCTAAAACCCATGTTTTTACTCTATAAAAGTCCCTGGAAAAGACAGAGTCCTTGGCAACCCGCTCAGGACCTCTTCTGTCTCTCTCAGAGAGACGCTTTCTCTCAACAAATATATTTTACTCTTCACCTCTATTGTTCCTAAAATTCATTCTTCGGTTTTAGAGAACATGAGCTCGCAGACATAGTAGTTTGAGAGTTTCATTACCCTATATCAGTATCAAGTTATCCAGTAGGTTCCACAAAGGTCAAGATGTGATTAAGAAAATTAACTGTCTTATGAGAAAGACGTCACTGTGACAATCAGAGGCTTGTGAGATGTTAGTTGTAATCAGCAGGTGTACAGCTTATCAAAACAATGTGGTTGATGAAGCATTGCCGGTGAAGAAATTGAGCTCTCTATATAGTAGAAAAATCCTTTACACTCAGCTAATTAGTGGGCTTGGAACAACAGTAAACAAAAGGAGAGATTTCAAAAACTAGAATAAGAACAGTGTGGACTAAGGGAAAAAAGCACAAGTCAAGTACATGCATCAGCTCAAAACCTAAAGAGAATATAAGATGTGAGATCCCTTTGCATCAGGGTATTTGGGTCAGAAGATATAGAGATACAAGCTCTGAGCTGAGGCTCAGGTCAGAATGGGCCAGGTCCTCATTTTGGTGGCAAGGAAGATATAGAAGCAGGAAGCAGATTGCCTTAGATCTGAGAACTCCATCAGGTGGACATCACAGTGTGGTTGAAACTCCTTTTTAGGGAAAGGTTTTGAGTAAGGAAAGTCTTACACCAGAGCCTAAAGAAATGAAATTGACATAAGACTCCTTGAATGCAGGCCAGCAGTGACCTTGGCCTAAAGGAAGTGAATGATACAAACTCTAACAAAGAAGGAAACAGGTCAGTGGGCAGAAGAATGCGGTATTTGTGTCTTGATGAACCCTTACATCTCTCCTATCTCATACCATGAGGCTTGTCACAAAGAAGTTTATCCCTCAAAAAAACTTTCTCATAGTTCCCAAAGCAGGCTCTAGTATTGCTTTACAAATGCCAACCATCCATCTATCCGCTCAGTAATTTATTCCAAAAGTGTTTCAAGCATATACTACATATCAGGCACTGTCTGGAAAACTGAAAGAAAAGAAATAGCTAGAAGTACATGGTGAGAGAAGCCTCGGGTGATGACTGGCTAGTTCTGAGTTCAGACACTCATGCAGCTGTGGAGCTGTCAGGTGCTCCACAAATAATCAGCTAAATGAAGTAAAAAGGGAGGGACTTGGATACGAAGGGTGCTGTTTGAGGATAAGGCCTGATGTAATTGTCATAAGGTGACTTAATTGTTAGTAAGTGCCAAAACGATGGTCATACTGATAATTTCATCATAAAAGCTGAGCTAACAAGTGGATTCAAGGGTGAATCATGTCTGACAGGGAAGGAAAAAGGACATAGCAGCTCTGAAAGTCCCATTTCCTTGAGGCAGGGCTCACCAACATAAAAAGGCAGTTGGCTCAAAGGATCACATCAGACCCGAGTGACCATACTATCTGTGTTTGAGGTGAGTCTCTTTATTTGAAACATCTTACCATTCACCCTAGGTGTTTAATTTTTATTGGCACCTTATAGGCATTTTGATATTTCTCAGTATTATTAAAATTTGGCTATAGTCACATAGACTGTTATATGAATTGTAATCTATAGAAATATCTTTGCTTTGACAGTAATTGTGCTTTGGGAACTTTAGACATGATTGGTTCTTCCCATCCTTTCTTGATGTGTTAGTGAGAAGAGGATGAGCTGTTTTAGGACCTAGAGTTAAGTAAGACTGAGAGCCCAGATCTACAGTGTTTTTCCTGACCTACTTCTTTCTTTGTAATTTTAATGGAATGTTGTTCTTTCAACAAATATTTTTGTGGGAACTTATTGTATATGATATTTGCTAAAAATTAAATTTTGACTATAGAGAACTTAATCCATAAGCTACAATATATTTAGGAGAAAAAAAACCTAAAATGCAATGCACTGAATGATCAGTGTCAAGTAACAAGGGTAAGTGATATGACTGTTTGGGGAGATAGATTATTTCTGGAAAAGTTACTCTAGAAAATCTGCCCCCAAGATACAATACGATGTGATCTACATTGACAGAGTAACATTTGGGCAGGCACTTGAGGTAAAGGAGCCAAGTCACAGATATGCTTCTTTGGATGCCAGAGCAGCCAATTATCCTTTGCATAGTAAGCCATCCTAGATATCAGAAATAAATGAGTAAACAGAGGCTTTTTTGATTTGGTTTGTTATGTTTCATATTGTTTACAAAATAGCCTCATAATTTCATGTAATTCAATGCTGTGAGTCTCACTTTCCCACTGTGCTGTACTCCTAATGGGCTTTAGGGTGTGTATGAAGGAAATACGCAGGGCTTTTCCTTGCTCAAGTGGAGTAGAACAGATCACATTTAGATTCCTTCTCTTCAAAGACTCAGAAATCATGAAAGTATTCTTTGTGGTAAAGGAGGAGAAAGAAAGACTTATGCTTCTTCAAAGACCTTAAGTGGCACTGGGCATTTCTTCTTTCTGAGTTCTCCCTGTTTAAATTATCTCTTCTGTCTCAAGGTCCCACCACTGTTGAAGCATGAGTTCTCACCAGCAGAAGCAGCCCTGCACCCTACCACCTCAGCTGCAGCAGCAACAAGTAAAGCAGCCTTGCCAGCCTCCACCTCAGAATCCATGTGTCTCTCCAATCAAGGAGCCCTGCCACACCAAGCTTCCGGAGCCCTGTCATCCCCAGGTGCCTGAGCCCTGCCATCCTCAGGCACCAGAGCCTTGCCATCCAACGGTTCCTGAACCTTGCCAACCACAGATGCCTGAACCCTGCCATCCCAAAGCACCTGAGCCAAGTCAATCACAGGTTCCTGAGCCCTGCCACCCCAAGGTGCCTGAGCCCTGCCAACCACAGGTGCCTGAACCCTGCCATCCCAAGGTGCCAGAGCCCTGCCAACCCCAGGTTCTTGAGCCATGCCAGTCCAAGATGCCTGAGCCCTGCCAACCACAGGTGCCTGAACCCTGCCATCCCAAGGTGCCAGAGCCCTGCCAACCCCAGGTTCTTGAGCCATGCCAGTCCAAGATGCCTGAGCCCTGCCACCCCAAGGTGCCTGAGCCTTGTCATCCTAAGGTTCCTGAACCCTGCCAGTCTAAGATGCCTGAGCCCTGCCAGTCCAAAGTGCCTGAGCCCTGCCACCCCAAGGTGTCTGAGCCTTGTCATCCTAAGGTTCCTGAACCCTGCCAGTCTAAGATGCCTGAGCCCTGCCAGTCCAAAGTGCCTGAGCCCTGCCACCCCAAGGTGCCTGAGCCCTGCCACTCCAAGGTGCCTGACCCTTGTAATCCTAAGGTCCCTGAGCCATGCCAGTCCAAGATGCCTGAGCCCTGCCACCCCAAGGTGCCTGAACCCTGCCACTCCAAGGTGCCTGACCCTTGTAATCCTAAGGTCCCTGAGCCCTGCCACCCCAAGATGCCTGAGCCTTGTCATCCTAAGGTTCCTGGGCCCTGCCAGTCCAAGATGCCTGAACCCTGCCAGTCCAAGGTGCCTGAACCCTGCCACCCCAAGTTGCCTGAGCCCTGACAACCTCATGTGTCTGAGCCTTGCCACCCCAAGGTGCCCGAACCTTTCCATCCCAAAGTGCCTCAGCCCAGTCATCCCAATGTTCCAGAGTCCTGAACTTTAACTGTCACTTCAGTACCAGCTCAGCAGAAGACAACACAGAAGTAATGTGATCCACAGCCAGGCCCTTGAGGATCAGATAACTGGATGCTGAAACCCCTTTCCCACTCTGCTTATGGATCCCAATTGCCTCACAAAAGCATGCTGTCACCTTGATTCACAGTCTCTCTCTCATTTACTATCCTAAAAGTATGTGCTATGAAGTTTTCCTTCCTACACTCCTGAGCCTCTAAATTAGGCTGAGAAACTTGGTACCTGAGCTGGTTCTCATCTGCTCAAAATCTGTCTTAAGGTGAAAACAAGTGATTCAATTTTGTTTTGCTCCATTAAATTCACTCCATTCCACTCTTGGCTGTGTGCATTGCTGTCTGTCTCAATTCCTTCATTCCATTTCCTCATAAAGCAGGAGCTTTACAGAGATGAGAGGGCAAAGCAGGCATCTGACCCTGGTTGTTTGTCTGAGAGTTGGCTCCAGATAAGCACTCTTCAGTTGACAGTATAGGCTAAGCAATGCTGCCCAGAGGTGTTGTTTTGGAAACCCACAACTGGAGCAGGGCTGTCCTCTTACAATTCAGTAAGCCACACTAGAGTTTTAGTTAAGGCCTGTCCCAGTTCACTCTAACTTGCCCTGCCCTTAGATCTGGTTTCCAGTTTGCTGAATTAGTTAACAAAGTCATGTTTATTCTAATGATTATTGTCTCTACCTCTGTGAATCTGCCTTTCCTGATTTGTTCCTTTTGAGATTCCCTAGATTATGTGCAGATGTACTGTCATCTCTTTCCATTCTCTGAGTATCAATTCTGTATGAGAAAAGAGATAAGCATGATTCACAGTGCTTGTGAGGAATGTTTCCTCAGGCTACAAGGATGTACTTTGCTCCCTACACACACCATGCTGAAACATACCTACAGGCATAAACCCTCACAACTGGACTGGACACCTTACATAGCAGTCTTCCACCAGATGATGGGAACTGCAGAGAATGAAGACTTTTAAATTCACCCTCATCTTAGAGTATAAAAATCATTAGTGTATGTTGTAGTTATGGGTTGTGCAGAAAATAACTAGAATAAGGACATGGAGTTTATAATATTATTTTTATAATGGTCACTAGGAGTTAACACAAGAAAATTCAGGAAACCTATCCTCAACACCAAAGACATAGAATATTTAGTCAAGGCCCTAAATCCCACAGCAATGTCCCATGTGAATCCAAATAAAAACACAGAGCTCATGACAATGTCTCCCATGAGTCCAACTGGAGGTCCAGGAAAAGGACTCATGCCAGTCTCTTTTATGGATCCGTGCCAGGAAGGCCCAAAGTTCAGCGGTGGAAGCCAGAAAGTCCATGCCAGCGGGATGAAGGAGCTGTGCTGGTAGGATGAGGGTTCTACATTGGAGCCAAGAGGTCACACTCACAACAAAGACCAAGGCTGTCCTGAAAGGCACCACAACCATCCTCAGCGACATGGAGGCCCAGAGCTCCTCCTCCAACAAGCACAGTCGGGCACAGGCCAGGAAGGCATCATGATGAGTTCATCCTGGAGACCAAGTGGCACACATCTTCCCCTTCAGTGCTGGGAAGGAATGCTCGATGTGAGGACCAAAGCTTCTCCAGAAGAACCAACGGCTCAAACAGCAACTTGTAGGAGAACCCACAATGCCTCAATGCCTCAACACAGCAAAGCATTAACACCTTCCTCCTCTTTCTCCACTTATTTATACTGGCAACTTTCCTCAGGTGGAGCATCTTTGCTCGGTGCCATGGTGATGTAATCCTGCTGGCATTAAGTTGAACACCAGTTCTTAGTACATAACAGTGTAAAATGAAACAGACACCAACAGCACATACATATGTATATACATACTGCATTTATATAAAAATTATATATTTTTAAGGTCTTAAAATATTTGACTGACTAGCCAAGATATAGCACTCATTTAGTTTGCTACTTTAATACAGAATACTTTTATACAGATCCAAAAGGTGTCAAAATTATTAGCTGCAAAGTCAAATCTTGCATGTGATTTAGCTAAACACTACCCTGGTATACTCATTTACACCATCTATTATATGACACATGGTGTGGTATGTATAATTTTGTGATCCTTATTTTTCTTTGTATTCATTTTAAGCATCTAAATAAATTGCTATACTGTGCTTAATATAAAACAATAGTTGATTGATGAACAATTGTACATAAAGACAAGGTTCAGTATGGTAAACTGAAGCATGTATTCTATATGTAATGCTCAAATGAAAGTAATTGGAATTTTCATCTCATTATCATTTCTTCCTGGTTTAGTTTCAAATACTAATTTTTTACTTATTATAAAATGCATAATATTGTAATTTAACTATTGTCATCCCACTGTGCTGTAAAACATTATAGCTTTTTCCTCCTATTTTGCTACGTGGACACAAAGCAAATTGTCTTGGTTATTTTTACTTTTCTCTCATTGCTGGTAAAAATATCAGACACCCAAAATGAAGGAAAGAAAGGTTTATTTCTTACAGTTTTGGAAGGTTTCAGTTCATAATAAGCTGCTCCAAGGCAGGGTGGCACGGCACAAGGGCAACACTTCAAGACAGCAGTCAGAGAGAAAAGAACAGCCAGAGCAAAAGAGAGAAAAACAAACTCCTTCTTCTTCCTTATACTATACAAAGCCCACCCTCACACACATTAGGGAATGACTCGGGAGCACTCAGAAAATCTCCTTGCTTTCCTTTGTACAGGCTGAGGATATTTACAAAGTAAGATCCCTGTTCCCTGCTGAGTCTCTCATTTAAACATCTAAACTTAAGTTGATGCAATTTATCAAATATAACAAGTATTAAAAGAACCACACTTTTGATCCTTGCCATAGGAAAATGCATAAATGAAAAAACCTGCTAAGGTGCCTGGGTCTTGACCATGTATGGGTTGGATCCCAGCACATGGGGGAACCTTGGAACATCACTTCCACGTGGTAAGACCACACCCCATGTCTGAAATCAGCCTAAGCTTGATGGGAGGTACCCACTGGCCTAACTGGGTCACCCCTAGTGATCTCCAAGCAGCTAGCAGGAGCTTAAATCCAGTCCTGGGCCCTGACTTCATACAAGGGTTAGATTCCAGCACAAGGGTAAACTTGGGACTTCACTTCCAGGGTGTAAGACTACATTCTGTATCTGAAATCACCCTAAAGCTCATAGGAGGTACACATGGCCTAACTGGGCTATGCCTAGCAAACTCCAAGCAGCTAGCAGGGGCCAAAATCCAGTCCCAGGCCCTGACCATGCATGTGGGTTGAATCCTAGCACACAGGGAAACCTTGGAACTTCACTTCCCAGTGTGTTTTGTTTAGGTGTGTTCAGAATTTCTTTCATTACATTTATCATTTTTTCTTTCATGAGGGAGACTATTTCTGATTTGAGTTGTTTTATAGCTTCCTGGAGTTGTTTATTTATTTATTTCAGTTGATATCATTTCAGGCATCTCAGGTGTATGGCACATATTTTCTTCTATGTACATGGCTCCTAGGCTTTCTTGGGATGGGCTGGAGGTTTATATTTCTGGGTTTTGACCAATGTTCCAAAGCTTGAGCTCCAAGTGGCTAGCAGGTACCAACAGTCTTCACCAGGAGTCAAAAGTGGGTCAGGTGATTCCCAGTGCATGGGGGAAGATTTGAAACATCACTCAAAACCCAGAAATATAGGAAAATGACAAACCAAAAGAGCAAAACGCAGTCTGAAACTTATAGCCCAACCCAAGTGTAGGTGACATGGACACAGAAGAAAACATAAGCCATACACCTAAAATTCATGAAATGATATCAACTGAAGTAAAGAAATAACTTTGTGAAGATGTAAAAGAACTCAAACCAGAAATAGTCTCCCAGGTTAAAGAAAAATGATAAATGTAAGGAAAGAAATGCTAAACACATCCAAAGAAGACATAGTTAAAAAAATTAGAGGAACAATGCAAAAACATGGAAACTCTGAATGAAGAATACAAGAAACAAACAGAATGCATGAAGCAGATTCAAAGAGACACAGGAAATCAAAAATTCCATTGAAACTGGGCAAAACTGTCTCAATAAAAGGGAAGACAGAATTTCAGACCTCAAAGACATGATTGCAACTAGTGAACAGGGAAGGGAAAGATCTTTGAAAAAGAACAAAGAACCAGGAAATAACAATTCAACAACTGCAAGATGATGCAAAGAAAAATAACATAATATTGATAGATACAAACCTATGCCGAAAATCTTTTGATAAGGTCCAACACTTATTCATAATAAAAATCTGATAGAAAATTGGAATAGATGGTCTTTAACTCAGTATGATAAAGGCCATCTATTACAAACCAACAGCCAGCATCATATTAAATGGCCAAAAACTGAAGACATTTACCCTAATATTAGGAGCAAGACAAGGATATCCATCATCACCGCTTCTATTCAATATAGTGCTGGAAATACTAGACAGAGCAATTAGACAAAAGAGAAATAAAAGGAGTAAGGAAAGAAAAACAAGAAGTTAACTTATCATTACTTGCAGATGACATGATATTCTACATAGAAGGCCCCCAAATCTCCATTGAAAGACTCCTAGATATAATAACTAAATTCAGTAATGTAGCTGTATACAAAGTTTACACTCAAAAATCAATAGCATTTCTGCATACTAACAACATAACCACTGAGAGAGAAATAAGAGAAGCAAGACCCTTAACAATAGCATTCAAGAAAATGAAACAATTAGGAATTAATCTAACACAAGAATCAAAATATCTATTCAGGGAAAATTAAAATATCCCAAAAAAAGAAATCAAAGAGGACCTCAGAAAATAGAAAGAAATCCCTTGTTCATGAATAGGAAGAACAAACATTGTGAAAATGGCCAATCTCCCAAAATTGTTATACAGATTTAATGCAATACCAATCAAAATGCCACTAGGATACCTCATAGATCTAGAGAAATTACTCCTAAAATTCATCTGGGACTAGAAGAGATCTAGCAAAGCAAAGGCAATTCTAAGTAACAAAGGTAAGGAAAGAGGCCTCACAATACCTGACTTGAAATTATACTACAAAGCTACTGCAATAAAATCAACATGCTACTGGAATAAAAACAGACCTAAATATCAATGGAATAGATCAGAAGATATAACTACAACTACAAACACACTCAGCCACCATATCTTTGATAAAGGAGCCAAACACGTCCACTGGAAGAAAGACAGTCTCTTTAACAAATGGTGCTGAAGAGGTGGAAAAAAGATGGCGGATATGTAACAGTTGGCTACAGAGGCTCCCTGAGATAGTCAACTTAGAATTTAACATAATACAGCATAGGGAGG